CTGAACTAAACTCTGCAAAAATATCTCTATTTGTTTGAGGCTTCCCATCTGGATCAATGTCCATGATGGTACGCCACAATTCAGAGAATCTAGCTCGTTTTTCTTTGGGCATATATATTCCATGCCATAGTGCTTTCAACATGTAGTCAATATTGATCAGAATTTGCCCAATTCTGGTATCATAATAAGCTGGAGGTAATTGACAAGAAGAACTCTGATCATAATTAGCTTCTAAACTGATTGAAGGAATTTGATTTAAGCAATAAATTCCAACAGCCAATTCCCTTATGATTTGATGGACTTCTCTATAGTCTAAGAGGGCAGTAGGGTCTACAGGAGTCAGTAGGATTGCAGTGGAGAAGGCTACATTATTTACTTGACTCATAATTCCACACGGGATGTCTAGTTGAGTGTGGACATCTTTGGCAGACAACCAGCTAACTAGTGCAGTAGTCAGCAACTCTTGTACTTCACTCCGATCATATTTTTCAAAAAAAGCAGAAGCATTTCTCTGTACTGCTAAATTCTCCAGGTAAGTTTCTTCATCTTGAATCTGATCAAATCTAGGTGCTCCTTTTTTGGGCAATCTTAACATTTCTAATTAATTCTAGTGTGTCCTTTTTGAAGTTTCTGCAATGAATAAAAAGGAAAAGCAATAAAATTTACCATAGTAATGAAGCTGAATTTCTCAAGAAATAAATGTGTACCTTTCATCTTTATCACGTTAATTGTTTCATGGTCAACCACTATATTTTTCAATTAAAAATTCTTTTTCAACTAAAAATTTTTTTCCAATTAAAATTTTTTAAAATGACATACACTATATTTGTTTCAGGGGTACAACATAATAATTTGATATATGTATATATTTTGAAACGGTCACCATAATAAATGTAGTTAACATCATCACCATACATAGTTACAGAATATTTTTTCTTGTGATGAGAACTTTCAAGATTTTATTATCAACTATAGTTGCCATGCTATACATCACATCCCCAAGACTTATTTTATAACTGAAGTTTGTACCTTTTGACCCCCTTCACCCATTTTGCCCACCTCACCCCCTGCCTCTGGCAATCACCAATCTGTTCTTTTATCTATGCTTGGGCTTTTCCTTTTTTGTGTGGTTTTCCATAACCACTATTTATTGAGCATCTACTATTTGCCCAGCTCTTTATACACAATATTTATTTCATTTAATTGGCCCCTCTGTATAGTGGTTCTCAAAATCTAGCCTGTGTTGAAATCACCTGCGGCTTGTTACGACAGATTGCTGGCTCCTACCCTAGAGTTTCTGATCCAGTTGGTTGGAGTGGAGCCAGAGAATTTCCGTTTCTGAAAAAGTTAAATGCTGCTCGGCGAGATAGGCGCTGGGAGCCCCACTTTATAGACGCAGAAACGAGACTTGGAAGGTTACAGGATAGGCCTGAGGTTTCACACCTTCAGAATCAGAACCATCCCAGGTTTGTCCATCCTCAAGTTCAAGACCTATGCCCACTGGACACGGGAAAAGGGAAGGGACAAGGAAAGGGAAGAAACCAACTCGGAGATTATAGTTTGCTTGTCCAGGAGAGGGGAGCTGCGTCCACGCCGGTCCTTGGAGTATTCCTGGGGCCCAGGACAGTGGTCGTTTTGAATGACCGGTCTCTCGTTGGGCCCGAAGCCAACGTCAGGAACCCCGCGTGGGCGAGGGCGAGGGCGAGGGTAGCCGCTGAAGGGAGGACTGGGAGGGGCTCTCCTGAGCCGAGGGCCTGGGGAGGCCTGCTAGCCCCAGGCGGCCTCCAGGTTCTACTGGGAGCCTGGGTCTTTGCTGAAGTCCCGCCGCGCCGGCGCGGGCCGAAGCCGTTGGGACCCGGGGCCTGGGACGGCGGGGCCGCGCCGCGAGGGGGCGCTCCTGGGCTTCCGAGGGGGG